ATAATATCAGTAATGGAATACAGTTAAAAAAAAAATAAAAAATAAAATAATAAATAAAAATATAATAATAACCAAGCAATGGATAAATAAAAATATAAACAACAAACAACAGTGACAATGATAAAAATGAGACAATTTTCATTATTGTCACTATATTCACCTCGACCAGGGGCGCAGCAGCGGCATTTCTTCCCTTGACAAGCGCGTTTTATTACCCTTTCGTTGTTTTTGCATTTTCCCGTCGTGCAGTATCTGCCCTTCCACTTACATTGCTTCTTGGTTTGCATTCTAGGAAAAGGAAAAGAAAAAAGTTGTCTATTTAAACATTTAAATTCTTAAGAATGTTGATTCTAGGCTTCTCTTATTTTACATTTCAATCGTTTAAGTTCAGATACCTATGTTATTTTTATTTTTCTAGGGATCATTTATATGGAAAACTTATATGTGTATGTATATACAATGTGTTCTGTGTATATATAAATATTTATATATATGTAATCCTATATGTGTGATATATAACATATATATGTACTATATATATATATATATATAATATATAATATATATAATATATATTTACCAGTAATGACTCACCTTTCTTGTCTTCAGGAGCGCAGCAGTGGCATCTTGCCCCGTCGCAGCCTCCGTAAATCTCCATCTCTCCGCTCCCACAGGACCTCGCTGAGCAGGATCCATTCCTCTTTGTGCATCTCTGATTCGCCTTGCATTCTGAGGAGAGGAGGAGAGCTTCACTTTCCATATGGGAGAAGAGGATCATTTCAGTCAACGCAATCTTTTCCGACAATATCCGATTTTCACTTTTCCTACCGCAGGGTTCCCAACCTATTTTACTGTTATGGGAGCCCCCTTAAAATTTATAGCTTGTTTAAAGATAAAGGAGGTGAATTTATATTAAAATGAACAATAAAAAATATTTTTTCGTTTCTAATATATGATAACAAAAACATATTAAAAATATCACTTGCTTGAAATATGTACATGTAAAAATCAAAGAACTAAATTTAAAATGTTTCTATCAATGATTTTCAATTCAGTGGATCTTTTCTTCCTGTTTCTTGATTATGAGTAATGAACAGATTAATTGCTTGTCTTCAAGGGGGACACTTCTCGCACCGCTTGGAATGCTATCTCGCATCCCTGGATGGGAAACCATGTCTAACATATCCTCACTAATTGTTAGCTATCTATTTTTCTATCTGTCTACCTAGATACATATGTTTCTTTCCCTCTCTATCTATCTGTCATCCATTTTCACTTCTTCGCAGAATAAGATGGGATTCTCTACCAAATTAAAGAAAATAATTTTAAAAAAATCTAATCCCATTAACTAGAGAGAGAGACTGAGAAAGACGACGAGAGAGGGAGTGAGTAAAAGAGACACCGACAGAGACAGAAATTGCTGAAAGAAAAAGAGAGAGAGAAATAGACCCAAAGCAAATACCTACAGCCCCCCCCCTTTCCCTCCCCATCCTTCACTCTCAGACAGACAGAGAGAGAAATCGACCCAAAGCAAAACCTACCTCCTAGCCCCCCCTCTCTCCCATATATTGGCCTGAGTAGGGCCCCCCCCCCGAAAACAAAACCAATCAATCTCCATCCAACTGAACCGAAAACAAGGGGGCTGGCCAGAGGGCTAAATATTAACAACTTTCGTTAGAAAGGTCTCGAGGTCTTATGTGGCTTAAGCTATGTGGCGTTCCAATAAGGGGTCCCTATAAGGGGTCAGAACGCGAAAACACCCTAAAATACCATTTAAATATCAACGTAACAGTACAGGTTTATTTAGTGCTATGAAAACCTTTCACAGAGTAAGTTACTAAATTAGACTGGGTGTGGTATGAAAATATATCATACCCTTTATAGACCCCTTAAAGATCCCTTAAATTCACCCCTAAACAATGGCAAGGTTTACAGAGGTGATCCAGGGTGTTATGGAAAGCTATAACAAAGTAAATGAGATATGAGATAAATCGATATGGTTTGAGTACTCGTATACCCCGTATAGACCCCTATATATACCCCTTAACACCTTTAAACAACGAATGGTTAGGGAGATGATCGTGGGTGTTATAGATGGCTATGATGGAATAGAGATGATTGGGCATGGTTTCAGATTTTGCTTTCCCTTTAAATATAGCGGGCGTAGGTACATGCATCACCTTTTCGGGGCAGCACCTCTGAATTGCAATTTGAGCGTGATATATTATATATATTATATATATATATATATATATATATATATATATATATTGTATCGTCCTCAAGCAATGGACTCACCTTTCTTGTCTTTGGGAGCGCAGCAGTGGCATCTTGCACCGTCACAACCTCCGTAAATCTCCTTCTCTCCGCTCCCACAGGACCTCCTTGAGCAGGATCCATTCCTCCTTGTGCATCTCTGATTCGCCGTGCATTCTGAGGAGAGGAAGAGGCTTCACTTTCCACGTGGGAGAGGAGGATCATTCCGGTCGACGCAATCTTTTCTAACAAGATCCGATTTTCACTTTTCGTAGCATATCAGGACTAATTGTTATCGATCTGTATATTTCTTTCTCTCTAGATACATGTCTCTCTATATATGGATATATATGTGTGTATACACAACACATACACACACATATATATAAATATATACACGTATAATTATATATATATATAGTGTCTATCTATCATCTTCCATTTTAACTACTGCCTTACCTTCGCAGATTAAGAGGCGAGATAGAGAGAGAGTCAGAGACAGAGAAAGAGATTGAGGAAGACGACGAGACAGGGAGTGAGAAAGGAAAAAGACAGACAGAAAGAAGTAAAAGATTGAGAGGAGAGAGAGATATAAAAAGAAAGCCCATACCCCAGGTATATATATATATATATATATATATATATATATATATATATATATAATATATATATATATATATATTATATATATATAAGCAATGGACTCACCTTTCTTGTCTTCAGGAGCGCAGCAGTGGCATCTTGCACCGTCGCAGCCTCCGTAAATCTCCTTCTCTCCGCTCCCACAGGACCTCCTTGAGCAGGATCCATTCCTCCTTGTGCATCTCTGATTCGCCGTGCATTCTGAGGAGAGGAAGAGAGCTTCACTTTCCACGTGGGAGAGGAGGATCATTCCGGTCGACGCAGTCCTTTCCGACAAGATCCGATTTTCACTTTTCCTAACATATCGTCGCTGATTATTATGTCTTTATATATCTATCTAGATATCTCTCTATCTATCTTCCATTTTTACTACTGACGCGATTCTCTTCCGAATAAATGAAAATAATGATAAAACTAAAGAAAAAATTATAGCCACTTACTTTCATCACGTATGCAACATTTGCAATGGCTGCGACCACATCCACCGGGAAGCTCACGCTCTTGCCTCCTGCATCCTTTGCCAGTGCAGCGCCCATTGGCTCTCCTGCATTCATTGGTTAGTTCGCAGGTCGCCGGCGCGCAGCACCTGCAGCCGGCGCCGGAGCAGCCTCCCTGGATCTCGTCTTCGTGTGACGAGCAGCGGCTCTTCCCGCATCTCCCGTTGCGTCTCCTGCAGCGCTTCGTCCTGTGGCAGGCGGCTGAAATGCGGAAACAGGTTAGATTCCGCTGATTGCGGAGTGACGGTTTTTCTTTCATTTTTGTCATGAATCTTTTCTGATCCCTTCTTATTCTAGCAGTTTCATGTTCTCGCCCCCGTCTTTATTCTCTTTCCTTTCTTCCCTCCTCCACCCTCACCCGGCATACCCTCCCTTGGCACATGCACCCCGAGCCCTGGCACTCCTGCGTGAGGGTGCCCACGCAGAAGGCCGCGCTGGTCACGCAGAAGCCGCCCTTCTGGAACCACGAGCTCATCGTCTTGCACTGCGGAGCGCAGCACTTGCAGTTGCCATTTAGACAGCCCGGAGAGCACGCGGTGGCGGCTGCCGCAGACCGCTGCAGTAACCGCCCTTCAGCAAAGAATTCATAACAAGGAAAAAGTAACGCTGCCTCTGTGTGTGTGTTGTTTGGTTAGCTGTACTTGTCTTCACGTGTGTGTTGTTAATGTCTACGTGTTTTCTTGTTTGTGTGTTTGTGTATATGTGTGTATGAATTTGTGTATGTGTAGGGGAAATGGTGAAATGAGCTAAGATATCGACCATACCTTCGTTTCGATCGTGTCCGTTATCCTTTCTCTGTGCCTGAAATTTTAAAAAATAAATCAAAATTGTAGAAAAAAAACTGTATATAAAAAACAGACTACACATACAGAAAAGTATACATATATATCCTGTATGAAAAAAAAATAAATAAAGATATAAAATAAATAAACATATATCATCATTAGGAACGCGATCGATCTGCCCAACCACGACATCCTCGGTCGTCTCACAGGCCTCCTCCACCCAAGGTTGTCTCTTACAGAGACAACCTGATGGGCAGGATCAGCCTGTGGAAAGCGAGCAAGGTGGCCATATAGCCCGAGTTGGCGATCCCGGATTGTGCAGGTAACAGGTCCTGTGCCAGTCTCACGGTGCAACCGTTGGTTAGACACATGGTCCTGCCAACAGTAGCCCAAGATCCGGCGCAAGGACCTATTACAGAAGGCATCAAGACAAGACTCCGGGCACTGGATAATGTCCAGGTTTCACTACCGTAGAGCAAAACTGGCATTATCAGGGCCCTGAAAACCCGTAGCTTGGCCCTTCTGCACAGGTACTGGCATCGCCAAATACTTTTGTCAAGATCGATCAGAGATTGTCACAGCAAACTCCCGAGCACACTCCCTCTCCTTCAGCCTGTCCAAATGAAACACCCTAGGGTGGTCATTGGGCCACTGGGGAGTTTTGAAGTGAACCCGGAGGGTAGCCACAAATCTATGGTCAGTACCACAGAACTCGGCACTCCTATACAACCTGCAGTTCTGGAGGATCCGCCAACGAGTGCTAACGAGAATGTGGTCATTCTCCTTGGCTGCATTACCCGCATCGCTGTACCATGTCCAACGATGTGGGTCTGGGTGCTGGTACCAGGAGCCAGAAATCCTCAAAAGAAAAAATCCCGAAAAGGAGGAATTCTCGCTGCCGGTACAACTAACCATGAGGACCGACTGACACATAGACACAACATGAACACAGCATTTTCCTCACACAAACAACGACCACTGCATTATCAACAAACAGACAACAGCCGATAGGACTTACAGCAAACGTTTCCCTCCGGACACTCAGCGCCAGAGATGATCCTTGAGCAGTTTCTCTCGGGGACACAGCTTCCTTTGGCCTCCTCGCATGGTCCGAGGTCCACCTCCTCCTCGACGCCCTGGGGACACAGACGGGGCAGTGGAAGGAGAGAGGTAGATTTGCGTAGATTGATGGACGGGTGAGTATCTATGTACATATGTATATCCACTCACCTTTCCCTGAGCTTCCTCCGCCTCCAGCAGGAGCGCGGCGGCCGTCGTGACGAAGCCCAGCATCCAGAAGTAACGCATCCTCATGGCGGCGCTGACGAAGAGAGGAATCCGTTGTGTCACCCTTCGGTAAGCGGCAGGGAACGCTTGTGTCGACCCCTACCCGGAGATACGTATATATAGGCTTCTGTA